ATTTTCACTCTACTGTACAAACAGCCGAAAACAGAAGGCAAAAGGTTCATGTTTGCCTTTTGACGTTTGAAGTTTGACAACGGTTTGACGTTTGCCGTTTGCCGTCTACTCTGTGAGGAAGATCGAAGGAGACTCTGCCGCAGGGTATTTGCCGTCTGAACGTCATGCTTAATCTCTATGATAGGAAAACCGGACGATCGCGAAGCGAAGAGCTTTGACAGTGGAGCGGACAAGAGTGGAGGAGGACTGGAGAAAAAAAAANAGAAAAAACCGTTGTTCCCGATCTCTGATTTTCAACTCCCAACCTCTGTCCCGTTGCGCAATTCCTTGACGCGCTACGTTTTCTTGTTTCCCTATCTTCGACTGATGGAAACACTCATGCGAATAGAGCGATCGATGGTTTTGTCACTCCTTGCTAAGAAACGGCTGCACAACATAGACAAAATTTGAAGGAATACTATGAGTCGTAACTCAAGCTTGGTCATTTCAACTGACAGTGTCTTGATTTGCTTTTGCAGGGTGGCATATTTGTGTTTAACCTGTTCGACTCGTTTTCAGCCGGTTTGTCGCTCTTGTTCATTGTGTTTTTGGAGTTGATTGTTGTCGCATGGATTTATGGTGAGTGGCGCGTCTTTTTGGAAAACCGTTTTATCCTGGTCAGTGTTTAAAAAGTGTAGACAACACAGCTTCGGCTTAGTTAGAGCTTTTGCCTTTTGGAAGCATAAAGTGGGTACAAATGGCATCATTTTGCTTGGAGGATGAATTTTAGTCAAGAAAATACCCATCAACACGTACTTCAAAAGAGAGCATTACATGAAGAGTAGTAGTTCAGAGAATCTGATGTTTAACAATAGCATTCCAGATCAATATTTTTTGAGTTTTATGCCTCTTGTGACGTAAAGCTTATAGCGGTTACTTTTTCTAGGAGTTGACAGGTTTTCACGAGATGTTGAAGCCATGATAGGTCATCCAATTTCAAAATGGTGGCTGATTTGCTGGAAGTATCTGTCACCGCTGATGGTGTTGGTAAGTTCATTTGTACTCAACCTCGTTCTCATGGCCTTCTTCCACGGGAGCGAGTTTGCATTTTTACTGCCGCTGTGCAAAAAATACTAGGTCAATGGACTCCTGGTAACATTTAGTAAAGTCAATAAGTCTTCTGCCCAGACGGTCTTTGGGTTTGTCACGCGCTCCTCCCACGAACACCTGCTTAGGGGAGGAGAGATTGCGTGACGATAGCCCAAAGAACGTATGCGTTAGAGGCTTGGGGACAAGCACCAGTTGACTGATTTCGATGGTTTTGTTGCTAACATTGCCAAGTTATGTGAGCATGAGTGTGTTGGGAGTGCTCATAAGTGGCCGTGACAGCTCGAGCTTGTTTTTGATTGGGTGAGGAGAATCGGAAACTCTCCGAGTGTGTCCGAGAGGGTTTCGATCTTACGTTGAACAATGCTATAAGATTAATTAAATAAACATCTTACTTGTCAATAGTTTGTACTTCTTTATGCATGTGATAATGTGCCAGTAATAAGCTCTGGATTTGTCTTTGGGACGTGGAAATGGATAAGTAAGTGGCTTAATGCTCACGGCTTTGTTTAGAAGTAATGCTTTGCTTAAAACAGTTCAGGTGCATGGAAGAATGGCTCAGAACTTTTTCACTAAAAGTCAGTAACTGAACATTACAAGGCTTTGAGCATACTCAGATACAAAATACGATAAAACAAGCTGTGCAATAAAGGCCTTGTATCGGAAGAAGTTATAATCTTTCTTTAGCTTGATTATGGACTAAATCTAAACAGAAGCCCATAGGATTACTTTCAAAGTGCTTATCATGGGAAGGAGTTCGTTCCTTAAATTGGAAGTGGTCGGGGTTAGGCTTATTTTCGATTCCGACAGGCTTGTTGTAATAGCAATTCTACGGTGTTTTCTGTTTTTCTCCCACAGGGTATCTTGATGTTTAGCTTGATCAAATACACTAGAATCACGTATGAGGATTACGTGTATCCCCCGTGGGGAGAGGCAGTGGGATGGCTAATCACTGTTGCTTCTATGCTCTGTGTGCCACTGTTAGTCATTAAAACTATTGTGGACATCTATTGGCGGGGAAACGATGGAGGAAACACATCACAGGTGAATGTAAGAGCCAGGTTTGTACCGTTAGCGGGCTGTGATGTACCCTCCGAAACGGAAGCGGACAACTCAAAGGGTTTCATGATGTTGTTTTATAGTTGTTTTATAGTTAGAAATAGCGCAAGCCACACCCAAGTTGCGTGTGTGTAAATGCGAATGTGGAATATTTAGCTGTACTTACAAGGAAAACATTGACACATTTGCTGGAAAAGGTAAACATTTATGTGTGCCAACTGGCAATGTTTCTACAATTGTGGTCCACGAACTTCGTCCTCTCAGATTCATTTTAAATTCTTTTTCCTTTCTCAAGCTGTTTGTGACCTTCATGAAGCTCAAAGTAACAAAAATCAGAATACACCATTTTGCTAATGCTAGCTCCAGTCCCTTGTGGGGACAAAATTTGATTTACTTAATGAATTAATGAGGTCATTTTTGGCCGAGTGATCACTTCTTGCCCCGTCAAGGGAATGAAACTGGGAAATATTTGTATTAGCAAAATGGCCTATTGGCGTTAAGGATTTGCGTATGACCGCTGTTTGAGCGCCAGGCACTAAAAACAGGTCACGTGAATTGTCGCGTGAGCAGACGCCATTTTGCTTTCAAGTAACCAAAAGCTTATCTAATTTCTACGAGATTCCAACTCATGAATTAACCATGATACTTGGCGAAACCTAGAGACTGACTCACTAACTCAGTGGCGGGTTTCTTTCTTCTGCTTTTCTTTTCAGAAACTGCATGAGGCTATATTTGTGCCAGAAGAAAACCATGCTAAGGAATTGAAGGTCTGGGAAGTGGGCCATCAAAGTCCAGTGTATATGACTGCTTTGTAACGTCCTTAGATGGTGGATTGAAAACCCCGCTTTGCCTGTGGCGTTGAAGTGTTATGTAATAAGATACCAGGCGTTCAGTCGTCCATGTGCTTTGTTATATATTTTGAAGGAATTTCTTCATATTAAGCTGTTCTAAGACTGGCCAATCACAATAAATGTTATAACGCTGTAGACCAATCAGAAAACGAAGCAGAAACATGTAACTGACGCGAAGGGCGGGAAAATACACTCTAAAAATGACTTTTAGTTGCTGGCTTAATTGTTCTTAAACAAACGACCGAATCAAGAGAAAAAGAAAATAAACAAACAAACAGCAGGTTTGCTGTGATTGGTGGAGGGCGTTATGTTTCAACAACAACAACAACAAAAAGGTTTATTTTCACCACAAAAAAGCTAAAGCAATTAATTATAAAATATCAATTAAAAATACATTCAGTAGCTGGTCACCCAAAATAACTATGATGCTAAACTAGTTGGGTGACCACCATCATGTTTCGAGAGAAAATTAAGACAAGAAGTACCGAAGAATGACTCGTAGTCGTATAGCTGTGTGTTTTATTCCGTCTAAAGTCAAAACTATACAAAAATATACTTTTTTTCTTAATACAATTATCTGATTAATAAACAAAACTAGAATGAGATAATTATAAATGCCTGAACTGACAACGGCGCGTTAACTGTAGATTACTCGTGTCGGCGAAATTTCGAACGTTATTGTGCAAATGTAACGGACTTGGGTTCAGGCTCGGGCGCAAGTTATATCATTTTTGCTGTGGCCAAACAGTATATGAGAGACCGGGAAGCCTCGAAATTTGTGCTCTTTCCCCTCTACCATTTTGTTCAGCCCATTCTGCCGTGGGTCCGCGAACTCGTTCCAGGCTTCACAATTTGCTCAGCGGAATTACAGATACAAACACTAAAAACACATCTTCCATAGCTAGATTGAGCCACGAATGGAAGGTAAGAACTTTCCTTCTTTTTGCCATCGGCATCTCTTTACGCTGAAAACAGTTTTCAGACGTGTTTTTTTTTCTTAAAAACCCAGGTCTGTTACATTTGCACAGTGTAAAACACTCGAAATTTCACTGACACGAGTAATCTGTTATAGACAACCCATAAGTGCAATCTTTATTTATTATTTTTGTTCTATTTTGAGGGTGGTCCGTAGAGGGGCTTCGTAGGGGTAGTCCATGGTCTGGTCCGTAGGGTAGTCCACGGACCCGGTCCATAGTGGAGGTCCGCGGACCGGGGTCAGTGTTTTCGGGTTACCCCGGTTTATCTTATGAAACTTTCAAACGCTTTAATAACATAATCGAAGAATACTCTTAATTTAAGTGCATTGATTTCTTTTTGTCAACGCTAATAAAAACCTTGCACTAAGTTTAGCCACTCACCGAAGTTTCAGCATCTAAAGTGCGGGTTTTCTCTATGAAATTTGTCTCCAAAGAAGCCCAAAATTCGAACATCGTTGCGTTGCCGCCATTTTGAACAGTACTCAGTAGCCAGGCCGCGTTTTCGTGACGTCATTCCGTCCGAGAGAGTTTGTCCAAATGGCTTCCGAAGAGCCTTTTAACTACCACTTTGGGTTATGGCTGCTCTTGAGCCCAATTATTTTGAGCCAAATCCGAAATGATAGTATTGAAGATGGTGAAGTGGATAATCACTTGGAACAAAAATAGATTTTGCTGACCTTGTAAAGGATGCCAAGTCAGTTGCAGGTTTTTCTCCTTCCTGCCAATTTCGAATCGGACGGAATGACGTCACATAAACACGGCCTGGCTGCCAAGACAGTTTCAAAATGGCGGCCTCCGAAGTCGCTTCTTTCGAGACAAATTTCTTCAGGATAGCGGGCACTTCATAGGCCGAAACTTCGGTGAGTGCTATAGGCGAAGAAAAAAAAAGTAAGCTTTTTGGAGTGACCGTCTCCTCTAAAAAGACCAGGAGCCCTCTACGATACAACTCTCGGTATGAAGTTACTGATCTCAAAAAGTTATTCAATTAGATTTTAAAAGCATGCACCCTTTTAGACGTGTGTCGTTTCCTGAGAAATCTTTTAACATCTACGTTGTTAAAATTATTCGTGACTACGTTATCAACAAGAGTACGTCAAACAATAGGTAGCTGCTTAATTGACATTTTACTTTACGTTCAAGTGTCACCGTGCTGGAGAAAAACCCACTTGTCGTAGGAGAATTAATGTTTGTAAACACTGAATTTCGCTTTAGGTCTGTCAGTCTGTCATGGAGTATTTTTGACGATATAATGGAGCGAAAGCCTGCAACACTTTTCCAGGCGAAATCAGATCGTAATGTTCTCCAGGCGACAAGACTTATTTTGAACTTTCAGCTCACTTATTCTATATAGTTTGGTGTTGGCTGTAATGCCGGCATTTTCATCATAATTGTTAACTATCTCTTAGATACAGTACCAGATTTAAACCAGCTCTGCTGAACTGGGATAACCTTCCTAGATATTTTGTTAAATAATGAAAAAGAAAATTAATAATTAAGAAATAGAAAACATGAACTGTGTTTCTATCGAGTTTTAGTATAAATCTACTAGCATTCTATCACGAATGCTAGGCCTAATCTGGGACCTTAAGTCGTCTAAAGTTGCCTTAAGTCGCCTTAAGTTGCTATCGGTTACGGAATGTTAAAAGGGTTTCAGCACACTCAAATGGCCCCTGTGGAAGGTTATTAGACTTATAACTGTCATGTTAGGATAAACTCCACTCTAACCCTATGGAGGAGGAAGCACGATGGCCCAATGGTTGGTGCAATGGACCCCTATTGGGGATCATTGCATTGTGTTCATACTCTCATA